GGAGCAGTCAGGGTTGATCTCTAGGACTGACCGGTTTGATTGCCTTGCAGTCCAGGGGACTCGCAGGAGTCTTCTCCAGCACCAGAGTTCAAAGGCCTCAATTCTTTGTCGCTCAGCCTTTCTTATGGTCCAACTTTTACATCCATACATTGCAACTGGGAAAACCATGGCCTGGACTTTTGTTGGCAGGGTGATGTCTCTGCTTTTTAGTATGCTGTCTAGATTTGCCATAGCTTTCCTCCCCAGGAGCAAATGTCTTTTAATTTCTTGGCTGCAGTCCCCATCTGAGGTGATCTTGGAGCCCAGGAAAATAAAATCTGTCCCTACATATAACTAAACAGTCTTCTTCCTAGCAATTTCCCACTTAACAGTGGACAAGCTAAATTGTCTCTCCCAGGGACCATCTTTAAAAAAATCCTAGTTGCTATAAATGTGTTTTTAATTAGATATTTTATATATAGATACAAGCACACGTTCATATATGAATACACACATGTACTTAATTAGTTGGTGTGCATGTGTTGAGATTAGCAAGTAGCCAGGTAGCTTTTTCAGGACTATTGGTCTCTGCCTCTGTTTCTTTAAAAGAAACTTAGTAAACCATACCGTACACTTGACTTGTGGGGACCTGAACTATCAGAGGCCGCAGTCTTCTTCTGAAAACCATTTCCCAGAAATCCAAGGTCCTACTGTTCTCTTGTTCCCTTTGCAACATCAAATAGTCATTATGTGAAATAGATTAGATGATAGGTTTTCTGGTCTGTCGTAACAATGTGATTCTTCTTCGCATCAGCGTGAGCTCTTGAGATCCTGGTTACGTACTTGTGCTAAACTCAAGGGTTTATTTCCTTGGGAGATGCGTTTGAGGTGGTACTTATTGCCTCGATGCTAGCCTTTTTGTGAACAAGTATTTCTGTAATCCTCCCATTTTCTCTCTGCTGTATGCTCTTGAAGCCAATCCAATGTCTTTCGGTTAAATATTATTGTACTCTAGCTCCCATCAGCCCCAGCCAAGCACAGTATATCCATGATAGCGGATGTTGTATTCGGTATCTGAAGGACTGCAGGTTCCCTCCCTTCATAGGAGTGTCTTTGAAGTTGTCCAGTTTTCCTTCATAATGTATCAGATTCCTGCAATCTTTCCCTTGCCTTATCTCAGTGGTGGCGAACCTATGGCACGCGTGCCAGAGGTGGCACTCAGAGCCCTCTCTGTGGGCACGAGCGCCATACCTCGGAGATGGCAACTGTCCCTCTTCAACCAGCCGCCCGCTAACTCACTGAGGTCCCACGTGGCCAGATGCATCCCAGCATCCATGCACTCACTGGCCTCTGTGTGCAGGGGCCGATGGTGTCAGGCAGCAGCTGCCCCGGCCTCTGCCCCGCCTTGCCCTGCGACAATGGCACCCCCACCCTGCCTCACCTCGCCTTGCCTCACCCCGCAGGGCTTGACTCCCTCTTCTTTGTGGCAGCCCCCGAGATATTGGAACACTGCTATCATGTCCCCCCTCGTCCTTCTCTTCATTAAACTAGACATACCCAATTCCAGCAACCGTTCCTTATATGCTTTAGCCTCCAATCCCCTAATCATCTTTGTTGCTCTTCTCTGTACTCTTTCTAGAGTCTCAACATCCTTTTTACATCGCGGTGACCAAAGCTGGATGCAGTATTCCAAGTGTGGCCTTACCAAGGCATTGTAAAGTGGTATTAACACTTCACATGATCTTGATTCCATCCCTCTGTTAATACAGCCAAGCACTGTGTTGGATTTTTTGGCAGCTGCACCATACGGCTGGCTCCTATTTAAGCGATTGTCCACTAGGACTCCGAGATCCCTCACAGTTGTTTCCACCCTCTGTCCTTGAAATTTCCCCCAAGATCCCTCAGCAACATGATCACTGATGGAACTTTCTGAACCACATCTGACTCTTCTCCATCGGTCTTTCTCTTCGTGCTAACAAACTGGAGAGGGTTCAGTACCTTCTAGATCAGTGGTTCTCAACCTTTTTAATGCCGTGACCCCAACCGGTCGTAAGTCGAGGACTAAACCAGTCGTAAGTCGAGGACTAAACCGGTCGTAAGTCGAGGACTACCCAACCGGTCGTAAGTCAAGGACTTTCC